TATATATAACTGTGCCTGCATGTATCTTTATATATATATATATATATATTCTGCATCAGTCGTCACGCTAGTTTATTATTGGATGGTTCTCAAGTGGTGTTAAGCCATCGCGGCGCGCTATTTACAGAAGATGGAATAGTCCTATCGGGTACCTGGCATCGCGAGGGAAAGGAAGATTATGGTGCCCGAAAGAGAGGCTTCTGCTGCGGTATTTGGGTGTTGGGTCTGATCCTAGCAGTGAAACTACTGTTTTCTTCCATCCAAATATTTGCCTGTCCTTGCCCCGCCTCTCGATTTCTCTTAAGCCACGCTATGTAACGTGTCCAGTCAGTATTTAAGGCATTTTATGTATCTGTTTTTTTCTGTATAAATGGTATGTTCTCTTAGCTTTTGCCGATCTAAGACTAAGTGCTTACGCAACCAATACGTCATCGAAATTTCAAAAGCGTTCAATTTTTCGTCAAGCTTACAATGGCTTATTCGAGTGCGCAGGAGCAACGGTCAAAACCGATGAAAAATTGTTGATCCGCAGAAATTAACATTCAGTCGAGCAGCGTGAAATGTAGCCCTGCTTTGCCACTGGAAGTAAGCTTCTGCAACTAGTCCAAGGGCATCTAGATATAGTCAACCAAAGAGAAATTAAGTTTTACTTCTAATGCTTTCTAGGGTGGATTCTGGCACGATGATGGATTAGTAGTACTGTTCCCAAAATGATTGGCGCGAGCCTAACGTTCCCGCTTGAAGCTTCCCTTCTGATTTTCTTTCGAAGTCCTATCACGAAGAACTTAGCAAGGCTCACTTCTTTCACATAATGCGATGTAAACATTTGAGCCTTAGCGCAGTAGGTCAATTACCGCTCCCCCGCGGGATATTTGCATTTTGACTCTGTTTGACTTTGCCAATTTGTAATGAGGCCTTTCCACCGGCGCCAAATCGGCCGTCTCGTTTTGTCAGTGTATTGTCGGAACTTTCGCTTAATGAGTGTTTGTATGCTGCAACACAAAAATACCAATGAATTTTGTTCCTAGTTCATACTTAATAGCCTATTTCAATTATTTTGCTAGAGTTTTTCCAATGGAAAAATATATTGCAGAGTTTTATTGCTAGATCACTACGCTGTAATCATGGTTATCTCTTGGTATTGGCTCCGTGAAAGGATAACAATATTAAATCTAGGAAAACAATTTTCGAACTAAATACACAACATGAATAACAAAATTTAAAAATAATCATCTATCCGTCTTGTTTATCGTATCTCTATACACTGATCTCGTGGAACAACGAAATGTATATATATATAGATATGCCGCGCTGATCGCCTACCATGTCTGTTCGGCTACATCAAAGCTACTGCGTTTTCCCCATTTTATTGTTTTTGCTGGTGTGGTTATTGTTGATTCCGTTCGATATTTACATGTAAATTAAGAGGCCGAAAATAATAGCTACCCAACGCGGCACGACGCAAACCGAACGCCTTGCCGTCTCCACCATAGATCTCTTTATATACATATTTGTCAAGACGCCGCTCGTTGCTTCGCTACTATTAAAGGCTATTGCTATATATATATATATATATAATATATATATATATAATGTCCCGTCTCCGAAGTTCCTTGTCTTTGCAAGTGTGTTTATTCTTTTCGTTTTCGCAAATATGTTGACGGCCGGGCCCTATCGAAATTTTTTGCCGGCCTTGACGTTCAATTTCAGGTTGAAGATCCTAAGCTCACTTTGTGAGGCACGTAGCCATAACCAGGGGATCACCGGACTTGAATCCGCGATGGATACAAAACTGAAATGTACGGCACACTTTTATATTGGACATGACCCCATCATTCCTTTTAAGATCCTTCTAATGATTTCCGGTAGGATGTTTCGGCAGCGGCTATGGGTCATGTATTTCGCAAAGCTCATTTTGTCTGAAACCCCTTTACATGCCAGAACATGGTGCGGTCGATTGACCGATTTTTTGTCCATCATTATTACATGTTTAGTACATGGTCAGCGTTAGTTAATTAGTCATCACTACCTGGAAATAAGCGTGACTCATTGCATTATGTGCTGTTTCAGCTACTGGTGTACGTTATGACGGTAGTAACAATAATACCGCTCACGTTATGTGTATGTGTCTATTTATATATAGTATGCGATTTATATATTTATTTAGAATATACTTATATATAACGTTATTATTCGTCTTCGTACAGCTTTCTTCGGCGGTTAGCTTCATGTGCCGCCTTTGTCTTCAGTTTATTATGAATGGTGTTTATTGAACACCGGAGAATATTTCTTCACTGTTCCCATATGCTAGTCAGGTTGCGTTGTTATGTTCTATGCCTGTTGCAGTGATACATCTTATTGTCCATATGGCGTAATGCAGCATAGTGTATGTAATCAAATGGATTGTTTGGCTCGCTCGGATTGTTTTTATCATTCGTGTTGCCATTGAACTGTTGTTTGCTTTGTTCATTAGAGATACACCATATTGTGGCGCGAGATCACCTTTTCTATGTAGACGTCAATTATAGTACGCTCGCCCACACCGTCGCTCGAAAGAATTTTTGATCGAGAGCGATGCGTGCGGTGCATGGCGGATATATTGAGAGAAAAGGAACCACAGATTGGTACGAGAATCTGTCCTGTCGTATACGCCTTTCGTACCCCCTTTTTTGGTATGTCTGTAGTTTAGCAGTTAGTTGATGCTGTGTTATAAAGCACCATTCTGGCCACCAACGGACACTTCTGGCTGGGTATCGATCTCATTTCTTCTGACTACTCAGCAACGTCATAATGGTAGCAGCAGTAGCATGAACGGCAGCAAATAGCTACCCAGTGTCCTACGATGTCGCTTTATATCTTTTAAACTTGTTTTCGCATATAAGCATTTATTTCCTTCGTTGAATAACACTGGATAAGATTGTATATTTATGTTTTTGCTGTTCAGCTATAGCAGCTCTGAAACCAACTGGGTGTGACTGGGTACTCTGGCTAGACTCTCTGTATGGGCGCACCGATCTCTCAATAATCCAGACCCTTTTTCCCGGGTGAGTTACGAGACCAACCCAAATACCTAAAGCTCTCGTTATCATATATATTTTTC